ATCGGAACTTTTAAGTTCAAAATGTAAAAAACAACAATATAAAGAAAGAATATGACTACAGTTTATAGTCACATATAGTCATATTCAACCATAGTCATATTCGGCGTTGCAAACCTGTTTAGAGAAAAATTTCAATTTTTTGTTTAAAAAAAGTTTTAAAAAAAATTTAAAATAATATTTTTATTAAAAAATATTAAAATTAAAAATAAATTAAAAATGACTAAATAAAGTCCAAAAATAATATAAAAATAAAAAATAAAAATAATAAAATCCGATTATTTTTTTAATTTTTTTTTTTGATTTCGTAGCAATTTTTTAGGAATTTGGAACAGATATTAGGAATTAAATTGTTATGGAAAGAGAGAAAAAAGGAATAATTGAGATAAATTAGGGAAAATATATAATTAAGTCTAATTAGCGGGATTAGGTGCCTCATTAATAGGGATTTCGAAATTACTGGATAATTATAAAAAAAAAACGTGATACACTACTAGAGGGGTAAGATTGGAAATAAATATTGTAGGGGGTTTTCACAAAGAAAGAATTATGGTATGGACATATCACTAGTTTTTATCTAAATGAGGGGTGTATTGCTAATGACCCCTTATTTTATATATATTAAATATTATTTAGTAAATGCCACATTAAGCTCTCTTAATTACTTGATCCATTATTATATATGAATTAATTAAGTATGGTTTTCTTTATATAATGAAATTGCCGTCAACTATATAGATGCACTGAATAAACACCAACTCTCGTGCAATAGTTCGTAAATCATATGATGATATGTAAATTATACGAAACTAACTATATGTGACAAGCTCGACTTAAAGACTGTTGGCAAATGAATTGGTATTTACGTCGACAAAGTAGTAGTAGATCTAGATAAATTTACAAAAATGAAATATATATAAAATATAAATATATGAAAATTCAATTTGATATTGAATAGCACATTTCCAAACTTCATACCAATAATTCCTTAGGTTATGTCTCATAGTATTTGGTTGATGTCTTTGGCTAATGTAATTGTCCTATATATCCAATAATAACCAAAGAAGTAGCCCTAGGTTACATGAGGTTCTTCTTCTCAATTTGCATGTCTTTTTTTTTTTGGCTTCTATTTTTAGAAGTTTTAATTACTTTTTTTGTTGTTGTGTGTTTAACTGTTTATTTAAATAAATGGAGATCATGTCTTTAATTTTACAAGTTTCGTAATGTACGTTAATTTTTTGAAGTATATATACTGTCATATTATACTAAAAATACTCAATTTTCAAAAGTTTGTTGTAGTCAACTATAGTCAATTTCATTAACTTCGTTGTCAAACTTCAGCCATTTATTTGTTTCAAATGTTCACTTTTCCATATTATATTAAAAATATTCAATTTTCAAAAATTCACTAACAATATTAGCAATTAGAAATTTAAGGAAAAAAAAAAAAATTAACTTGTCCTTTCCTTAATTTAAGTTCATGTTAGGGACTATTAGCTAATTCTCCCCAAAAATTAAATCCAAAATCAAGCTAATAATTAACATTCAAGATTAATTTAAATCAGTCTTGAAAAAAAAAATGAAAAAAAAAAATAAAAGACAAAGAAAAGACAGAGTTATAAACATTAGGTGAGAAGAAAATGTCCTATTAGAGAGGTGGCGGGGTAAAGATGTCATTTCGCAGAAGCTCTACAGTGTTTAGATAGAGGTATGCAAATAGCGACGCTGTATGGAACTGACAAAAGTAAGAACCCCTTAACGTGTACGTGTATGTATATATATTTGAATGTATATATCATACATATATATAAATATATTGTATTTAGTTTTATAACCAAGGAATCTCCATATATAGGTGGACTAGGTAATTCCGTATTTTCCTACAATAAACTTGAAAAAGTAAAATAAAATTGAATCCGTGTCAATTGGCTCGGAATGAATATTCTTGTCACTGCTACATCGAACTTGTTACACGTAGTTAACAATCGAACTTGTTACCCATAGGGCTTATCGATACCCACCAACAAGGCTCTACTGACTAAATGGTAGGGGTTAATAGGATGTCCGGTTGGTAAGATTCACACTTTTTCAAACCCGCTACTAAATTCAAAGTCCGCTATTAAATGTTACTATTTCGTTAAATGAGGAGCACCCCTTCCCCTGAGATTAATTTAATAGGGGGTGACTAAAAAGGAAAAATACAATTTTATCCTTAAAATTATATTTTATTATTGTAAACTAAGTGGTTTTATAGACAATTCATATGTAATAACTGATTTTAACAAATTTAATAGAAAATTTAATCTAGAGAAACCGTACATGCTACTAACTAAATAATTAATTAGTCAGTAGGAAGTTAATCCAATATAATCCAATATAGGTAACCGAACAAGCCCATAGTTAACAGGGGCGGACCCATGGAGGTTTGGTGGGGGCTAGAGGTGTAAATTAAGAGATAAGAAAAAAATTTTATAGGGTAAAATGTATAAAATTTTAACTTTCGAGGAGTAAAATACATAAACTAATAGATAAATAACACAATAATATAAAAAATAATAGAAAACTAGTAAAAAAAATTCCTGAGGCGGGAGCCCCGGACACACTGTGGGTCCGCCCCTGATAGTGAGTCCCCGTGTAGTTTGTATGGTTTGTAAACTATTACACCATAATGTAGATTTACTCAGTGTACCTATATGGCTGGATGCGAATTCTTTCATTTTCCGAGAATTAAAAAAAAAAACATAAAAAGTGTAAAGGACATTAAACATAAACTAAATTACAAAAAAAAGTATATAATTCCATTTAATTTCTGCGGTATTTTGCTCCACCAAGTATAGGAGGTGTAATTATTTTTGGGTAAATTCTAGTTGCCTCTACACTTTGGTTCGATATAACTTTATCCCCTTCTACTCTCAATTGCATCGATTTGGCCCCTGTACTTTTAAAATTGTCTTAATGTGACCCTCGCCGTTAGTTATTAGACATGTAACCTTAACACCGTTCGATATAAGTCTGAAAATTACAAAAAAAATCACCCCTCTCAGCTTAAATAATTATTAAAAAAAATTAAAAAAAAATTAAAAATGAATTGGGGCTGCCGTCGTGGACTATGCTTTTTCGTTTTCTTGAATATTTATTTTTATTTTTTTATTTTTTTTTATTTTTTTTTTAATTTTTTATTTGTTATTTAATAATTATTTAAACTGGGAGAGGTGGTATTTTTGTAATTTCAGAGCTTAGATTAGACCAAACGGTGTTAGGGTCAAACGACAATGAACAAAGACGGCTACATTGAAATAATTTTTCAAGCACATAGGCCAAATTAATACGATCGAGAGTAGAATGGGGTAAAGTGATATGGAGCACAATAAAAGGAAGCAAATTACAAAGGTAAATTGGAATTTACCCTTTACTTATTATATGCATGCAAATACAAATAAAAAAAAAAGAAAAAAAAAGATTACTGTTTAAATGAAATCATAATGAGTAATGAGGCTGCTTTTGTTCCTTTGTGGGGGTTCATTATTTTCACTGGTTTCAAGTTTGAACCGTATATTACAAATCCGGGTCAAGAACCCGGTCCCCTTCGATACCAAACATCGACAATGTCGAAAAATAACAACTCCCACGTGGAGAATACTAGCTCCGTGCTACTACATTATCGAGAGACAACTCTCACGAGGAGATAATTCGCTACTACATCGTCCCGG